AAAAATACTTAATCACTTCACAGGCATTATTTATTGAGCAGAAAAAACATTGATCGAGATCAAGACTGCACTGCTGCATTGCGCAAACATAGCACAGTGGCACTCATGTCAGTGACTGGTGCTCGCTGACATGGCATGGTGGCATCGCCCATGGCCTAACTGTTATTGTTCACCCCAAAACGTTTGCCTGCAAAAACTCCACTTATCAAACACTCGATGCCACTCAATAGTGTCACTCATGGCATCCAATAGCATTACCCATTGCCGCAACAGCGGCATAATTGTAATTGGTAACTCTCATAAACTGCAAAAACGTAGACTGGGTATGTGTGTAATCGAAGCTCATCATTGACAATGGTCCCCACTAGGGATGGGCATGATTAATCGATAATTGATCATTAAGAATTTCATCGATTACGTTAATTTTAATCGACAAACCAAATGTAGGTTGCTGTGCGTAGCGTGACCAAACAGGGGTCCGTACATGTAGCTCTCTGCACTCAGAAGGAGCGAGACACAAACAGTCGGTCAGTCTGCAGCGTACCGAAGCACAAATGCGTATTTAACGATGAGATGTACAAGAAATTCCACGCTTTCCGTTGCGTTCGGGACAAGTGTGAGTCCATGTGCACAGTGTACAAAGCAGGAACATATGTTTCGGTGTCCAGTGGGAAAAAGCTTTACCAGGTAAGAGTCGCGCAATGTCGATGACGAGGACCCACCTCCCACCTCTCGTACGGTGTCCTGGTTTTGACAAACGCAAATATGGTTACACTAACCTGTATTCCACTGAATCATGTCTTTTAATCCAACAGAAATTGAACCGCATCAGCGCACAAGAGCTGTAGTTTTATCTTCGCTGAGTTTATAGCGATGCGGTTTTAAGTTTCGTTTCTGTGAGAGTTGCGCAAAACTGAATTAAACACATTATAATGTCAAACGGATTGATGTGGCTCTAGAGTCGTTACGGTTTATATGTCGTAAAGTTGAATTTATTTATGCAGATTAGTAGTGCAGATAGTAATAATAATGATGATCATTTTAATATAAAAACGTTAATGATTAATCGATAATCGATCGTTAATTCTTCCGACGATCGATTAAGAAAATTTCATCGAATGCCCATTCCTAGTCCCATGGGTGCGTTACTGGACGCGAGTACTTTCCAATGACATATATATGTGCCACCATAGGTGGCCATATATTGTTATTGTTCTGTTTTTATTGTTATTACTGTTATTATTATTTTTCTCTTCCCGAGTACAGTTCAGCGACTTCACAAACACACCACATTAAAAAACCTACAAAAAAATGGCATGACAGCTCCCCCTGCAAAATCATATACCCGAAAAATCAACTTTGACGTAGATAAATGATATTCAGGTGGTGGATAGGCTTTGTCATTCCAGACAAAAAAATACATACATTACGCAGTTGCTAGGCAACCAACAGGAAGTAAGCCATATTGGACTGATTGTGCGATTTTTGCTTTTTAAAAGATCAAACGATGTTGCCGTGGCAACGGAGCAAATTTCTGGTTAGTTTTTGCTGCTCGCCATCAAACTTTGATGAGTGATAATTTGCACAAACTTACATGGAACAGCAAAAATTTACTTTGTCATAGACATAAAAATTTGGTACACACATTCGTGACATGGTTTCGATCAAAAACGTCAATGACACCCCCATGCCATTTCCTTTTGTGTTGCCATGGCAACAGGCCAAACATCTGTCCTCGCCAATAGGACGCCCACCAAAACCTTTGGCGTAGCCAAACCAAATTTTGTACACGGATGCACCATGGGAATAGGAACAAAAAGGTATATTACGCGGCTGCTAGGCAACCAACAGTAAGTCGGCCATATTGGACTGATCATTTGACCTGGCGCATCATTTCCTGTCCTAATACTTGAATGAACTCATCCTAGAGTTTTTGACGCAGCCTCACCAGAATCATTCTGTACCATCTAAACAAGTGGGACATTAAAAGTTGTTAGCAGCTTTTTAAGAGACTGAACGATGTTGTCATGAAAAGGGTACAAAATTCAGGTTAGTTTTTGCAGCTCGCCGTCAAACTTCAAAGCGTGATAATTCACACAAACTTTGGACGATTTCACTCAAACTTTAATCGTTGGTGGACACCTCGACCCTGAACAGATTTATATAAGAAAATCTAAAATGGACATGATAGCGCCCCCTAGGGAAATTGCATGGGACTGCAAAATTTTACTTTTTGTATACATAAACAATTTGGTTCACACACTCATGACATGGCCTTGATGAAAAAAATCAATGATGCCCACACTCGATCTCCCATTGTGTTGCCATGGCAACAGGTCTGTCCTCGCGAATAGGATGCTCAAAAATAATAGGATAATAAACTTTGACGTACTTAAACCAAATTTGGTACACAGATCCATCATGGGAATAGGAACAAAAAAGTATATTGTGAACAAGCCCACCTCCCAAACTGGAAGTCTTCCATCTTGGATTTAAAAAAAATCAACACATACAGAAATTGAGAAAAATTAGAAGAAAAATAGAGTTCGGTTAAGATTAGGGGTTAGGGCTACTGTTAAGGTTAGGCCTAGGGTTAGGGCTACGGTTAGGAGTTCAGGTAGGATTAGGTGTAAGGGGGTGAGGAGCTTTTAGGAGTATTTAGGAGTTAGGTGCATTCGTGGGGCATTGCATGTGCAGGGCTAAGCATAGCTGGGGTGTGGTGTGGAGTGGGCACGGCATAGGCACGAGCGATTAAAACAAGGGCGCAATCTTGCTACTCCAAATGTGCAAAATGCACATATATAGCCATAGACTTGGTCCGTTATGGGAGTGCAGGTGCAGACTGTCTTTGCATAGCCTAGCCTACACTTGTTACACATTATACCACAGTGCCACATCGGATCACAACGCACACCTCACCTGTCCACCTAAAGCCCCGGGGTTTCAAAATGGCCGCCCATTCAAATCAATGGGCCGAGCTCAACGGCGCATGATCCCAGATTAGCCTAGCCCGGCTAGGTACTTCCGGTGGCTGTGGGCCGACTGTGCGCAGTAGTGCTTTTTTCTCCCACGGGCACACGCGAATGCACATGAGCACACACGGAGCTCGGGCTCAATTGGATCGAGAGGAGCTGGAGCAGAGCTGAGCGTAGCCGGAGCTAACGATTATAAAGCGTTTTTTTAAGACAACTGAAGGGTTTTGAGCTGAGAAAAAGTTTAAGATCTAAAAATAGATAAAAAGTGCGCGCTTTGAGAAAAATCTTGTCTCGGCCCATGGGATTTTTTCCGCTGAACTATGTCAACTGGAGGCAGCTACAAGCTAGCAATACCCTATCCAGTTATTTTAACAGATCCACGGTCCACCTCCAGCACTCTCTCTGTCCGGTTTGTGGCGCTCTCTTTTCCCGGCTTGGGGCATAGCTCCCGTGAAGGTAGTTTCTAATCAGCAAGAAACGCTAGAGACTACCTGCAAGTGGGAATAAACATCTGGCGGTGTTCGGCAGTGTAGATGGCAAACATTCCGGGTTGTGCTACGTGCAACATGAAGGCTTCATTTATGACAGCAAAATTAACTTCCTTGAATGTATTGTAATACATGTTAGCTAGTTATGCAAAATATTTTGGCACAACTGCCAGTACTTTTAATGCATTTTAAGGTCTTAATTTGGACAGAATCTAATTAATAACCTTTATTGTGTTTTCATGCCCCGGGGAAACCCTGTATTTCATGCAAGGCTTACATGGATATATATCTCTCTCTATAAGTATCTCTTAGTTGGTTAAAGTTAAAAATGTAAAAAATGTAAAAAGATCAGTGTGCCAAGTGTGCCAGCCACTCAGTCACAAGAGCAGGCAACCAAACCATCACAACCACACAATATATAATTTAAGCCATCCATCCATCCATCCATCCATTTTCGTCCGCTTATCCGGGGCCGGGTCGCGGGGGGAGCAGCCTAAGCAGGGACTCCCAGACTTCCTTCACCCCAGACACGTCCTCCAGCTCCTCCGGGGGGACCCCGAGGCGTTCCCAGGCCAGCCGAGAGACATAGTCCCTCCAGCGTGTCCTGGGTCTTCCCCGGGGCCTCCTCCCGGCGGGACATGCCCGGAACACCTCCCGAGGGAGGCGCCCAGGAGGCATCCGGAACAGATGCCCGAGCCACCTCAACTGGCTCCTCTCGACGTGGAGGAGCAGCGGCTCTACTCCGAGCTCCTCCCGTGTGACTGAGCTCCTCACCCTATCTCTAAGGGAGCGCCCAGCCACCCTGCGGAGGAAACTCATTTCGAGCGCTTGTATCCGCGATCTCGTCCTTTCGGTCACTACCCAGAGCTCATGACCATAGGTGAGAGTAGGAACGAAGACTGACCGGTAAATCGAGAGCTTCGCCTTTCGACTCAGCTCCCTCTTCACCACAACGGTCCGATACAGCGACCGCATCACTGCCGAAGCTGCACCGATCCGCCTGTCAATCTCACGTTCCGTCCTTCCCTCACTCGTGAACAAGACCCCGAGATACTTGAACTCCTCCACTTGAGGCAAAGACTCCCCACCCACCCGGAGAGGGCAAGCCACCTTTTTCCGGTCGAGAACCATGGCCTCGGACTTGGAAGAGCTGATCTTCATCCCAGCCGCTTCACACTCGGCTGCAAACCGCCCCAGTGCACATTGCAGGTCCTGGTTCGATGAAGCCAACAGGACAACATCGTCCGCAAACAGCAGAGATGAAATCCTGTGGTCCCCAAACCGGACCCCCTCCGGCCCCTGACTGCGCCTAGAAATTCTGTCCATAAATACAATGAACAGAACCGGTGACAAAGGGCAGCCCTGGCGGAGTCCAACATGCACCGGGAATTTAAGCCTTAAATTAAATATAAAGACTTTAGCAGTAGTGGTCTTTCGGACTGAAAATGCTTATATGATTATTACTTGATGTGATAATGCAATTATGGTTTGTCATTAAGGTCCAACGCTAAGTGTGAGGGTCTTTGCTGTCTGGCAGGGAACTGAAAACCCGTATTGAGAAGGAGGACTCTAAACGGGAGCTCCTAGGGGCCCAGACTGGACTGGGGGACTCCATGTGTATTTGCTGTTTGCAGCCATTCAAGTTTCTGCTCAACTCAAAACGCCAATGTCTTGACTGTCAGCTGTACACTTGCAAGGCTTGCTCCCGCTACAACAAGAAGGAACATGGCTGGGTGTGTGACAACTGCCGAATGACAAGGTATACACACAATACATGTGCACAATACATGTACACAAGACAAGAAAGACATACATGGAATTTAGAGAGTCATTGCAGGACAGTAGGCCCCATTCATGAATCTTTTCATGAATGAGGCCCATTGTGAAAAATCACAAAGCGTTCTTAAGAAAGACAAAAAAGCATAAACCAAATTCCTTCATGACATTGCACCAAATTCACCAAGTTTCAGCGACAAACATCATGACACTCATTTACATTTCATTTACATAAAAAACAAAACAAAACATGGATTATTAACAAACACCCTCCAATGGGTTTTGACATTCTGGCATGTGAAAGCACTAATGAAAGAGTGAACGAGGTCCAAAGACTACTGCTGTTTTACAACTTCAGCTGCAATTTCAAATGTCCAAAAACATGAACACACTCACTGACAGAATATTAAAGGTTGTATAGAGGATTTTCCAAGGAACGAGAAATCCAGTGACTGTTTGTCCTTTTTCAAATGTTGCGCATGCGTGAAACCACCTCCCCCACAGCTCCCTATGTTGAAACGCCTCCTCCCTCCTCCTCCTTACGCCAGAAACAGGTTTGTTTCTAGAAAACAAATACTCATCGCTGCACATGACTTGTAAACAACTAACTACAGTGTTGGTTAGGCAAGGTGGAGAAGTGAGGAGCGGGGGGAGGGGGTGCGCGGACATTTTGTGCGCGGACAAGAAGTGAGGAGCAGCGGGAAGAGCGGAGCGGGGAGAGAGGAGAGGAGAGAGGAGAGGAGAGAGGAGAGGGGAGCGGTAAGGGGTGCAGGGAGGGGTGCGCGGAGATTCAGTGCGAATGAAGCTACTACTACAACACGCAGCTGCAAGCGGACTCTTTCTTTGCATTGAAAATTACGTTTTCAGACATAGTATATCGCATTCGTGTCTTGAAAAACGTTTGTCTAGCTCTTGGAAATAAAGTATGTTTTCATAATAAGCAGAAGTTACCTGGCCAGAAGTAATTTGGCGACCAATGCATCAGTCTTTAGACCCTTTGTCTGCTTCGTCGCGCCACCGCTGGAATGAATCTCCAAGAATCACCTTAGTTTGGCTTTGCTGCTTTTCCCCTTGTCTTCTTCTTTCAGCAACCTCAAAAATGGACTTTCTTTTGGGGCGAATTGCTCCTGTATTCTTGTCTGCCATTGCAACAAACTTTGTGCTAACTGCGAGGAAGATATAGGTCAAAAAAGCCGCTAAGAACTGTTGCATTTGTGGAGTAAACAGCGTCTGTGGACTGCGTGACAGTCCACAGACACATAATGGCAGCGCGCAGTCAAGTCAGTTACGCTAGAAACGTAGGGAGTTTGATTGACAGCCTATCAACTAACAGATAACGAGGCAGTGTTGTTATCTATTGGCAAATGTTTAGCTGGCCCCACCACGTCCAGAGTTGATGAATTTTTATTCTCTTTTTTTTGGTCATCATAATTACAAGGCTACTGCATCTCTATAATGCTATCACTGACAACTTGAAACAAAAAAAATCCTCCATACAACCTTTAAGTCATACTTAAACTTATTTAACTGGCCCTCGCCAGTAACAAAGAAACTGGAGAGGGCTATTGTTCTTAGTCGGTTTCTTTATTGGCCCTCACCAGTGAGAGGTATTGTTCTTCCTTGGTTTCTTCTTATTTTTGGCCCGAGCCAGTAAGGTAGTAACTGGCGAGGGCTATTGCTGTTGTTCTTCTTCTTCTTCTTCTTTTTATTTTATTTTATTTTTTTTCCTTGCAAACGATCTCAATTTTGAGGGCCTAAAGGTCGACAGAAAGTCCCCAAACTGGGTATCAGATCAACAGGTCTGGTGAAAAATTTGACATAATGGGCATCGGAACAATGCCCCAAAGCACCCCCACTCAACAGCGCCCCCTTGAAAATGCTAATTTTTTTAATGAATGGGAGGCTGAGACGCATATTTTGGCGTAGGTTCACCAAATTCGGAACAGTGATAGAACTCAAGGAGACAAACAAAAAAGCACCCCTATGACGAACAGGAAGTCGGCCATATCGGATCAAAAATTCGTCACCGTTTTGACTTTTCACTTTGTCCAGATTTGACATGTCACATCTGCAGGCATAAACTCACAAAAATGTTCGATTTTTTTGGGATACTCCTTACAGTTTGCTTGTAGCACGCCGGCGAATGACATGTTAATTTCCTGTTTCTTCGATGACCTGTCACCAGAGTCAGCGCCAGGGCACATCTACTGGAGGGGTGTGGGTCATCAGCAGGGGGGCACTGCCATTTGAGAAATATTTTAATGGGGTGGAGTCATACAAAGCAGAAATGCTATCAAACACGTTTTTCTTGAACAGTTTTAGGCTAATTAGGCCCGAGTGCCAAAGGCTGGCGAAGGGCCTATTAGTATCACAAAGCGATGCTCCGAGTGGCTGAAAAATGAAATGGCGCGATGTGACTCGCCCGTAGTGACCAGGGACCCTCGCCATCACGTAGCAATGCGCCTGAGGTTTCCAAAAATGTATAGTTTGTCAGCCAAAAAAAAGCGGAACATTGTTCTCGTATCGGTTGGTTATTCTCCTAACCAACTCACCCATTTTTCACCTACTGAACAATGACGAAAAGTCCTGAAATTTTGCCATCTGGTAAAACTCACGCTTCTCTAACTTTTGGCTATTTTCATTTTCCAAAAATAAATAAAATGGCTCGTCAGCGCCCCCAAACGACTCAAAAGTGCATTAGGGAATACGAATGACACACACAAAAAATTGCACTTACAATCATGAAATTTGACACAGAAGTCGATCATGTCAAGACAAGGAAAAAGTATTATTACGCCAACACCGTGTGCTCCACTAGGGGGCAGCAATATTGGCTTAAAGTTGGCTAAGCTTTTAAGAACTCCTCCGAGGGCGTTCACCCGAACGAGCTCAAATTTGGTCCACATTATCTCAAGACGTGGAACTTATCCACATTTTTCACACACGTCTTATGGTCTCTGAGCAGTGAAGCAACAAAAAATGCACACAATTTTGGAGATTTACAAATTGCTCCCATTTGCTCAAACGAACTCTGATTTCAATGAAATTTGAAACAGTTGTTAAACTCTCTGCCCTGAAGCTACTTAATATGAAAATTATTAATTTGGCGCATTAGCGCCCCCTATAGATTGAAACAAAATTTAATATGGGAGAAAATAATTTGTTCCCAAATAGTTGTTCAAAAGTTTCTGAAATTTAGCACAAAATTCCATTTTGGCATCCTGATCCAAAAGTCAGTAACACCCATGTCATATTTTTTATGGCGTTGCCATAGCGATGACATAAACTCTCCATTGGTAAAATCTACAAATTCTGGCACAAACTTTGGCCGATTTCATTCAAATTTTATTCACGGGTTCACACCCCGACCCTGAACAGATTTATATAAGAAAACCTCAGGTGGGTGCAATAGCGCCCCCTAGGGAAATTGCACGGTAGTGCCAAAATTTACTTTGTCGTAGACATATAAAATTTGGTACACAGATTCATGACATGGTCTCGATCAAAAAAGTCTAGGACGACCCCATGCCATTTCCCCATCGTGTTGCCATGGTGACAGGCTAAACATCTGATGTCGCCAATAGGACGCCCAACAAAAACTTTGGCGTAGCCAAACCAAATTTGGTACACAGATGCATCATGGGAATAGGAACAAAAAAGTATATTACGCGGTTGCTCAGCAACCAACAGGAAGTCGGCCATATTGGATTGATCGTGCGACCTGTCCTCGTACTTGAACGAACTCGTCTTAGGGCTTTTGACCCAGACAGAATCGTTCTGTATCATCTAGACAAGTGGGACATTAAAAGTTGTTAAAAGCTTTTTAAAAGGTCACACGGTGTTGCCGTGGCAACGGAGCAAATTTCGGGTTCGTTTTTAGGGCTCATCATCAAACTTCAACGATTGAAAATTTGCACAAACTTTGGCCAATTTCACTCAAATTTTAATTGTGAGTTCACACCCCGACCCTGAACAGATTGATGTAAGAAAATACAAAAATGGGTGCCATAGCGCCCCCTAGAAAATTTGTATGTAAAAAAAGGTTTTATTTGTCACAGATATACAAAATTTGGTACCCACATTTGTGACATGGTCTCGATTAAAAAACACAATGATGCTCACACCCCATTTACATTGTGTTGCCATGGCAACAAGCCAAAATTGTATCAATGAAATGTCCTTACACAAACGTTGGCCTAGCCCAACCAAATTTGATAGCCAGATGCATCATTGCAATAAGAACAACAATGTATATTGTGACCACGCCCCTTTACAAATCGGAAGTCTGCCATCTTGGATTAATTTTTTCAGCAAATTTTGAAAATTGCAGGGTTAAATTAAGATTTATAAGGCTAGGGTTGGAGCTATGGTTAGGATTATGATTAGGGTAAGGTTTAAGCTTAGGCTTATTAGGGTCAGTGTGAGCTGCGGTGTTTGCGGGGCGCGGTGTATGCGGGGGCCGATCATTGCCGCTTGCGGCTATATTTATGTGTTGTTATTATTATTATCATTATTGTTAATATTATTACTATTAGCTGCAATAGGTGTTGAGGCTGTGTGGTAGATGATACGCACACAAGACAATAATAAAAGGTTGAGATTTATTAAAAAACAATAAGGCTCGTCAAAAACACCCCTGAACAACATCACTGAAAGAAGCAACCGGGCAAGAAAGAGCCACGCATCGGGCAGCACCAGGTCTGTAGTGAGCGTGGTACGCGAGGGCACGCCGTCCACAAAGTTCTCCTGATGTGAGATTATTTTTAATTTTTTTTAAATGGTGGTATAATTTTTGGGAGGCGCACCAAGGCCAAAATTATAAATTATGAATATTTTGGTTACTAGTGGCTGAACTATATCAGAGCACAATGAACAGTCACGCGAAAACACGCCGCTCACACCCAGACCCAACAACGTCAGCAAAACTACAATAAGACTAGAAAAGCACTCAGAGAGCGCAGACCTCCGCCAAGGACTACAGTC